TCTGGATGCTGTGAGTCATGAGACGAACAGCATTTCTCTCTTTGTTTTGTCTCATTGAAAGTTTCCAGCCTCTGCCATCTCTACAAGTATGGCACCTTACCACTTGGATCCTCACTTAAGTACAGAGTAGTTTTTGCTACTGGGGCAAGCAAACATGGAGGCCCCTTTCTCAGGATAAGGAGAACAGGGGACAGGGCCCTAAGACACTTCTCTCACCTCACCTCTCTGAGCCTCAGTTTCCTTGGATAGAAGTGGGGATAATAAACCTCCCTCAGAACGGCCAGGAGGATAATGGAGTAACTGATTACAAACAAAAGGGATTTACCTTTTTCTAATTCCAGGAAACATGTTTTTCTCTTCTAGATTCCACCCTGCTTCTGTTAGACCTGTAGACCTTAACAAACAAAAGAGCCAGTTAGTTTACCAGCAAAACGTATTTATTTGGGAATAGCAAAAGAATTGCAATTCAGGATAAAGCAAACTGTTATGGGCAGGTTGGGAGAACAGAGAGGAGGGGTTTTTATTTTTATTTTTATTTTTTAGAGATATGTTTTTATTTCAGAGAGAGGAAGGGAGAAGAAAAGAGATAGAAACACCAATGATAAGAGAGAATCATCTATAGGCAACTTCCTGCCCACACCACACTGGGGATCAAGCCTGCAACCTAAGCATCTGCCCCAGCTTGGAATCGAACTGTGAACTCCTGATTCACAGGTCAACGCTTAACCACCAACCCACATCAGCCGGGCCAGAGATTTATTTTTACACAGTTACGAAGCTGAAAGTTCAAGATCCAGGTGCCCATGGCTGGTTTCTCCTGAGGCCTCTCTCCTGGCCTTGCAGATGGCCCCCTTCTTACTGTGTCCTCACATGGCCTTTTCTCTGTTCGTGTGGATCCTGGTATCTCTTCTTCGGCTTTTTGTTGTTGTTGTTGTTACTCCTCACCCGAGGATATTTTTTCCATTGATTATTAGAGAGAGTAAAAGGAAAGGAGGGAAGGAGGAGAAAAATATCAACGTGAGAGAGACACATCAATTGGTTGCCTCCCACACCACTCTGACCAGTGCTGAGGACCTGTGCCCTAGGATGGGAATGGAACCCTAAAGCTTAGGCTGTGCTTCCTCTAAAGGCCCTCAGGAAGGATCCTCCCTTCCTCTTTTTACCTTCTGGTGGCTCCCAGCCATCCTTGGCCGCTCCTTAGCTTGTATGTTAATGCATCACTCCCACCTCTGCCTCTGCCCTTGCTTGTACTTCTTCTCTGTGTCTCTGTCTCTTCAAATGAACTTCTTATAAGGATACTCTTCTGTGGGTTTTTTTCTGTCTACTCACTACAATGCTACTCTCAATACTTCACTTCTAACACCAGATGTGGAAGGGGTTTTCTCACACCTACCAATTCTCACACACCAGATGAGTATCCTACAATTTAACTCAATTCTGACACTGCCTGAAGATAATATCAGATGCTATGGACTAAGGGCTCGGTCCCACAAGGCTGCCCCAACTTCAGATGCCAATTAGATCAGAAGTTCCCAGGGTCAATAATTTTCTACAGTGACTCACAGGACTCGGGAAAACAGGATTATTTACTAGACACCAGTTTCTTATAAGGTCTATAACTCAGGAACAGACAGGTGAAAACATGCACAGGATAAAGGCTGGGAAAGGGGCATACCACCCTCTTAGAACCTCCATATGTTCACCAAACCAAGATGATCTTTGAATTCTGTTCTTTTGGGATTTTTTAAATTATATATTTTTATTGATTTTTTACAGAGAGGAAGGGAGAGAGATAGAGAGCTAGAAACGTCGTTGAGAGAGAAACATTGACCAGCTGCCTCCTGCACACCCCCTACCGGGGATGTGCCCGCAACCAATGTACATGCCCTTGACCGGAATCGAACCTGGGACCCTTCAGTCCGCAGACCGACGCTCTACCACTGAGCCAAACCGGTTTCGGCTTTTTTGGGATTTTTATGGAGGCTTCATATGTAGGCAAGATTGATTAAATCATAGGCCACTAGAGATTAATTCAACCTCCAGCCCTTCTCCCCTCTCTGGAGATTGGGGGGTGGGCTGGAAAATGTCAACCTTTTAATCACAAGATTGGTTTCCCTGGCAACCACACCTCATCCTGTGGTCACCTGGGACTTTCCAAAGCTTAGATGATTAATACTATAGACAGGTGTGGTTGAAAGGGGTTTGTTACAAAAAAGAAGACACCCCTCTTGCCTTTATCGCTTTGGTGCTATTTCAAGAATTGAGGTTAAAAGACCAAATAGTGTCACAAAAGATGCTCCCCATTCAGAAAATTACAAGGGTTTAGGAGCTGTGTGCCATGGAAATGCAGACCAAACATATTTTTATTACAAATTGCAGTATCTCAAGAGCCCACCCTAATCCAATATAGCCTCCTCAACTAATTATAGCAAGTCCCAATTTTCCAAATAAGTTCATATCTGAAGTCCTGGGTGTTTGGGAATTTGTGGGGTAGGGAGGTTGGGGATGGGGAAACACACGATTCAGCCCAGTACATACGAATTGCAAAAATCTTCCAACCTGCAGATTACCTTTCATTCTTATTTAAAATTATCACCTGAGGATATTTTTTCCATTGATATTGAGAGAGAGAGAGAGAGAGAGAGAGAGAGAGAGAGAGAGAGAGAGAGAGAGAGAGAGAGAAAGGATAGAAACAAAGGGGAGGAGAGGGGGAGGAGAGAAAGAGAAACATTGATGTGAGAGAGCCACATGAAATGGTTGCCTCCTGCATGCCACATGCCCCAATTGGGGCCAGGGATCAAACCTGCAACCGAGGTACATGCCCTTGACAGAGAATTGAACCTGGGAGCCTTTGGCCTGCAGGCAGATGCTCTAACCCCTGAGCAACCAGCCAGGGCACTTTTTACTCTTCTTGGTGTCTTCTAAGGGATAAAAGTTCCAAATTATATATAGTCCAATTTATCAACTACTGTCAGCCCTTTATAGATAGTGTTTATGTATCCCATTTATGAAACACTTGGGTTCCCAGCACACTATACCTGTTCATTAAAGTTGAAACTGGTGTGTCAAGGTGACCAGTGGGATGGTTGCAGATAAATCGAAGGCATAAGGGAGTTTAGCCTAAAGAAGAGAATATTCAGGGGCAAACAGGAAAATGGTTGTAGCAGTTGTTGCTATCCCACCCATATCCCCTCATCATTCCCAAAGACTGCTCATTGAGGACCCCCTGGACTCAGCATAAAAGACATTTTCCTAATCACAGAGCATGCTCAGTCTGCTCAGAGGACAAGGAATATGGGACTCAGCCTTCAATCAATGCCAACCAGAGAGCTGGGGAGTGAATATCTCTGTTACCTCAGCCAACAATCGAGCTGACTCAGATTCTGACCCGCTTCCAGACCCCCATGCGGAACTGAGCCTGAGCTAGCTGCTGCCCACTGCATAGCCCACCTCATGTTGGCACTGGCTCTTCCCACCCTGGCACCCCCTCCTCTAATGGCGTCTTCAGGAATCACCTCCCTCTGAACGACTTACACCGGAATCCTTGTCTCAGGGCCTGTTCTAGGGGAACTCAAACTAAAACAACCATCTTCAAGTCTGCTGAAATCTCAATTTCCTCACCTTCCAAAAGAAGAAAAGAGAAATTAGGCATTTTTGTATAGAGTTGGGCCAATAAGTAGAAGCAATGGGAATATAGATTTTAGCTAAATTTATTTTTAAAAATATATTTGTTTATTGATTTTAGAGGAGCTGTTCGCCACCCCCCTCCCTCCTTACTGGGAATGGAGCCCGAAACCTAGGCATGTGCAGTGACCTCTTGGTACATGGGTCAACCACTGGACCACACCAGCTTGGCTCAGTCAAATTTTGAAAAGAATGTAAGAAAACTTTTTGACACACCTTCAGATCTGTCCTAGGTTGAGCTGAGTTCAAAGGTGAATTCTCTATCACTCAGAATAGTTAAAACTGTCTGGGATGTGTTAAAAAATGCCAGGTAGCCTGGAAAAAGTCTATGGTTCAAAATTGCTGGGAGGCAATTCCAACATGTCATAATTACAAGAGTTTTATCAGAAGGTTGATGAAACTTGGGGGCTCAACAAGGTCTGAGCCACATATGTAATTACCTATTGTCGTGTCTAAAGGACACTTCCTCCAAACCTGAATAGGATGGTTGTCTGCTGCCAGACAGCTCAGGGCATCTTAATCTACATGTTATTGCCTCCTGTTAGGTGTCTGAATAGCTGTAGGATAGTCCCCAATTTGTCAATGCTTCTGTACCCTACCCTTTGAAGTGTATTATCTACACCTTGCCTTAGAAAAAATTGTGTGAATAAAAAACAAGGGTCCTGAGTCAAGGGGAATTTTTAGCTCCTTTAGCTGAAGTTCCTCTGACCCCCAATGCCTTTCAAAACTATCATTTCTGGACTCCTATGTAATCTATGCACAGTCTTTCTCCAGATTGCTGAACCTCTTCTTAATGCTGGGACAAGAATAAGATGAGTAGCGAGTGGCTTTTTTTTTTTTTTTTTTTTTTTTCTTTTTAAATCTCAATTTCAGAATTTTAAAGCCTTGGGTCATATCAGGACTTAAAATAACTGAGCATAGATAATCATAAAACACGGATCTGAAAACCCCATCAACCCCTCCCTAAGACTTTTTTTTTTTCAAAAGTCACTTCCCCCTTTGGGAATTCACTTTCTCTGTGTCAGCCACATCTGGCTAAAGTATAGATTCCTGGTCCCTGCCCATTCACAGTCTCCATCAAGAGCCTGACTCATTTCATTTGTTTTTAGAGAAAAAAATGGTGACATAAAACTGGGTCAAGCTCTCAGTTGCATGCCGGCTCCTCCCATGATATTGTCTCACTTTTCAATCTTCTCAAGGATATCAGATTACTCGTTTTATCTGGAATTATCTTTAGGGACCACTGAGCCCCATAAAAGGGCGCCTGGTTAGGACAGGAGGCATTGGGGAGAAGGCTGTGAAGGGCTTGCAGCACCATGAAAAGCTTCCCCATGGCTCCCCCTATTCTCCTCTTTTTCATCCTGAGTGTCTGTATTGGAGCTGCCCCACGTATGTAGCTGCCCCACTCCCTTTCTGGGATGACTGGGAGTAGAAGCAAAGGGGTGTCTCCAACCTCCTTCCTTTCGCTGCTTTTTTAGGTGGCAGTGATGTGGCCAAAATCTGCTGCTTACAATTCAGCCAAAGGATCCTTCCCTGGAACTTGGTGCAAAGCTATGAATTCACTAAGAGCAGCTGCACCCAGAAGGCTGTGATGTGAGTATTTCTCCTCTGGGCATTAGGGTCCCTGACAGCCGTGTAATTGGGTGGGTGCAAGGCGGGCCCCTGCAGTGCCAGGATAGGAACCTGGGAACTTGGGTTGTTATCCTTCCTCTGCCACTAACAAGTGTGACTCTGAGCATTGGTTTCCTAACTTCCACATCCTGTGCCAGGCATGTACCAGGCACTGTGCTAAGTGCTTAGTATTAAAGAGCAAACAAGACAGCCCTCATAGACTTTACATCCAGCATAAGAAAGGGGGGATTAAGAGACACTTTCACAAAATAGAGGATCTCAACTGTGATAGGTGCTTGAAGGGGACAGCAGGAAGGACAGCAGGAGAGGGAGGCAAAACTTGATCTCTAACCTCTTAGGCTGGGCCTGAGAGTTAAATTGATAGACAGATGAATAGGATAAAAGTGTACAGATTTCACATGTACATGGAGCCCTCATAGGAAAATGACTACCTCCCAAAAGTGGTAAAACTTAAATGCATTTATACTAAAATAAAGAGAGGCAATTGTGGAAAAGTAACTAAAATGTATGGGTAGGCCGTAAAGGATGATAAGAGTTATCTAAACAAGCTCTGTTTCTACAGAATTCTCTTGGCCTTGACTCCCTATTTCTGGTAACAAAAATGTTTATTTCCTCCTGGTACAGGGAAGACATTTTTTTACAGAGGGGTTTTATCTCCTGCTTCCAGGAAGAAAGGAGGAGGTCAGAGAGCCCTTCTTGTACCAGGTTTCTTTTTAAGTGCCTTTAGCTCAAAATAATCTTTATGCCAAAGATTATTTTATGCCAAAATAATCTTTATGCCAAAGCTCCAGCATAGGTGATCCAGTAAAACAGGCAGAAGCTCCGCAGTCTATTCTACCACTCTGTAGCATAGTCACAGGAGGACCTCACTCAATGTCAGGAGATCCCCCCTGAGGAAGGGACATTTACACTGAAACCCTCAGGAACAGTGGGCGTGGCCTGGGTAAAGGGGGCAGGAAGGAGCGTGGGTGTACCAGGCAGAGGGAACAGCAGGCGAGTGGAAGGAGGATGAACATGTTACTGACCAGGCAGACAGGTAAATAGGAGCCAGGTCATGCCGGGCTCAATGGTAGCGGGAGTGATGACCCACATCTCACAGGCTCCCTGGCAGGACTAAATGAGCTACTATATGCAAAGTGTTTACTGCTGTGTCTACACAACAGTGAATGTTCAGCTAATGTTGAGTAAGTGGCAGAATTTGGGCACATCACTGCCACATGCAGAGGTAGGGTGACCCCCCAAGTTATCAAGATTCAACAAAAACTTCTTGAAGTGTAAATACACAGGGAGCAGCAGGTCACTGCTCCCCTGGACATGAGAGAATGGTGCAGAGGGGAAGAAGGAGCTCTGGAGGCCAACATTTTGAGACAATTAAAGAGGGGAAAGAGACACTCAAGAGCCTAGATATGGACAGGGGCTCTCTGTGGCTCAGGATGCCCTGGGCCCCTCATTTGTGTCTTAATTGGCTTTCTGGTGCTCTAGAGCAACACTTAACCAGCAGCTGGCAAAGAGCCCTGAGCTGGACTCAAAGCAATGGCTCTGCCACTTACAAGTTGTGTGACCTTGGGCAAGTCAAGTTTCCTGTAAAAGGAAGGGGAGAGGTTTCTATCAGTTATCTATGGCTGCATAACAAATGACCCCAAAACTTAGGGGCTTAATGCAACAGCGACCAGTTTCTCATCTCTCATGGTTTTTGTGGGTCCAAAATTCCAGAGGGCTTGGCTGGTGTTTGTGGCCCGATGGTGCTGGAGCTGGAACAGCTGGGGCTCATGGCATCTCTCTCTTCAGGGCCTCTGTGTGGTCTCTTTGTTGGGCTAGTTTAAGCTTCCTCACAGTATGGTGATCTGGGGTAGTATAAAAAAACCATGCAAGGTGGTTCAAGGCTCCAGCATAGGTGATCCAGTAAACCAGGCAGAAGCTCCAGCATCTCTTCTGACTTAACCTACGAAGCCACACAGTGTCACCTCTGGTGTGTTAATTATACTTTGTTGATTGACGAGCCACTAAATTCAAGCGGTGAGAACATAGACCTCCATCTCTCAATAGGGGCAATGGCATGCTCTCAGATGTCCAGAAAGTTCTTCCTCTCTCTTCTTTTTCATTCTCTTGGCTTTTCTCCCCTGTGTGTCCTGGGGCCCTCCTGAGAGCCCTGGAAACACTGCTGGGCGCTGCAAGGTGCTCCAGGCTAGAGCGACCCGATCTATGCTCTCCTTGTGTCTGACTCTCAGGGTGCATGAGGCTGGAGGAGATTCAGGGACATTAACCACAGCCCCCTTCTTAGTGAGATCCCAGTGGAAATCAGGAATCATATATAAGGGATGCAGGAATCAGGGCAAACAACCCATGATAATGTGGTTATGAATTAAGTGGCATAATGTGTATAAGGTTTCTTTTGGGGGGATGATGCAAATGTTTTAAAATAGATAGTGGTGATGGTTGTTCCATTTATGGATCTACTAAAGACCATTGAGTGATAATTATATACTTTAAACTAGAGGCCCAGTTCATGAATTTGTGCAATGGGGTCCCTCAGCCTGGCTGCGGGATTGGGCCGAAACTGGCTCTCTGACATCCCCCGAGGGGGCCCAGATTGTGAGAGGGCACAGGCCAGGCCAAGGGACCCCACCAGTACACAATCAGGACCAGGGAGGAGCGTGGAAGGTTGGCCAGCCAGGGAGAGACTACGGGAGGGCTCCAGGATGTGTCTGGCCTATCTTGCTCAGTCCCGATTGTCTGGACCCCAGCAGCAAGCTAACATACCAGTTGGGAGCATCTGCCCCCTGATGGTCAGTGCATGTCATAGCAAGTGGTTGAGTGGCCTTAGCATATCATTAGTATATTACACTTTTTTTTGTTTGTTTGTTTTTATTTGTTTTTAGTATATTACACTTTGATTGGTTGAACAGCCGGCTAATGACCAGACACTTAGCATACTGGGCTTTTATTATATAGGATGAATTGTATGGTGTGTGAATTATATCTCAGTAAAGCTGTTAGAGTAAAACAAAAGAGTTAAGAGGCGGGGTACAAGTTACGTTCTTTGGACTAGAGTGGGTGGAAAATGTTTCCTGAGGGAGGTAGGCCTGGAAGCGTGATTTCCAGCGGAAAGTGACATATCTGACAGGAGGGAAGGCAAGGGCCAGAAAAGGGAGCGGCCACCGTGTGACGGGGGTCTGGGAAGGCTGGAATATGAGTCTGGCAGCTGCCCCTCCATCCCTTTCCAGGAGGCTAGCATCAGTATTGACTGTCAGCATCTCTTTCCCACAGATTCACTACCAAAAAAGGCCGGAAAGTCTGTGCACAACCAAAGGAAAAATGGGTGCGAAGATATATTTTGTTACTGAAAGCTCAACAAAATTAGACACTGCTGAATTTTCAGCCCAAGGACACCTGAACCCTCTCTTGACCCTGTTGTCCTTGGCAGAGCATGGAGAATTTCTTCAAAAGAAGGCTCTGGGGGCCTGTATTTTCTACCAGAGTTTTCTTTGACGAAGGTTTTTTTTGTAAAGATCTGACTTGCTCATAAACATTCTTATTCAATAAACTTGAGTGTTTTTTTTCAAAGAAAAGAAACTGAGTCAATATTTTTTAAAATATGTTTTTATTGATTTTTAGAAAGAGAGGAAGGGAAGGGGATAGAGGGATTGAAACATCATCAGAAACATGCTTGACTAGATCAACTGCCTCTTGCACGCTCTGCACTGGGGATGGATCCTTAGTGGGCAAAACTGAGTCAACATTTACAGCTGACTTCCTGGTAGGTCCCCAACCCCTGAACTGACCCTAGTGTTAAATTCTACCTTTATGTTTTTGTGTCAAATAATCATGGACAAGTATAACACCTTTTGGCAAAATGCCCATTAAATGTTTTATTAATGTCATTTGGACAGGTAAGTTTGTTACTTGGAAAGTTTTGTGTAACCCCTTGTAGCCTGATGGTGCTGGGTAAGTGAAATGCCTCCATATTTGGTAGTGTTTTCTCATAAGGTATTATTAATAAACATGAGTTTATCTACCTACCAACCCTAAAGTGCCTGTGTCTATATAGCCTAAAGAAAATTTTAAAACATAATTATAGATTCACAGGAAGTTTCAAAAATAGTACAGAGAATTTGGGTGTATCTTTTAGCCAGTTTTCCCTAAGAGTTACATTTTAAATAATTATAACTAGAGACCTGTTGCAGGAAGATTCCTGCAAGAATAGGGCTTCCTGTGGCCTGAGCAAAGCAGAGAAGGGAGCGAAGCCTGCTGAGGTGGGCTTCCCTCCCGCCACCGCCTCCACCCTGCTTTCCCCTTTCCCTCCCTCTTCCTTCTATGCTGTCTTCAGTCTTTGCTCCGAGCCTGCATATGCAAATGAACCTCCATCTTTGTTGGGTTAATTTGCATATCCACTATGATTGGCTGATGGGCGTAGTGGAGTGATGGTCAATTTGCATCTCTCTCTCTCTCTCTCTCTCTCTCTCTCTCTCTCTCTCTCTTTTAACTCAATCTTTATTGTTCATATTATTACAAAGGTTCCTCATTTCTTCCCCCCTCCACCAGGTTCTCACCCCACCCTCCGCCCCCTCCCCACCCCCCATTGTCCCATCCATAGGTGCACAGTTTATGTTCAGTCTCTTCCCGCATCCACCACTCCCCCCCCCCCCCCCCCCGAGAACAGTCAGTCCACTCCCCTCCCATATCGCCAACTCTACTACAATCAACAGCTAATATTGTTCATCAGTTTTTCAATCTCCTTTTTGTTGTTGCTGTTGTTGTTGTTGTTTTTTAATTAATAAACTTTTACACTTCTAAGAATAAATTTTAAAATCTTATAATTTTAAACCTTGTTTTTTTTCTGCCCTGGGAATTGAGAAGCAAACTTGTTTACATGTAAACTTGCCCTTAGCTATCAAAAAGGGTAGCCATTCAAGTGTAAATGGACACATTATTTAAACATAGCTGCTAGTTGGAATTGGATTACCTGTTCTGGGTGTGAAGGGCTTGTCTTCCCCTTTCTCCATTCAAATTAAGGTGTTAGCTTTAAAACCTCTTTTTGGCAAGAGACCTTAAACTTTCAGAACTTTAAATTTTTCAGATAGTAAATCAGTTACTTAGCATTTTCTCAAATCAATAATACCTCCACATGCGCAAGGATACACTTCACACAAAAGACATTTCCAAATAGATCAACCAACCTCTTCCAGGCCCCACACAGGCACTCCCAGATCAACACCCCAGCGCTATACTAACTCAACACATCCAGATCTAAGCCTTTATCACTTGATTCAGCAGACCCTCAAGTTCCTCCAAAAGTTTCCAGCCATGTATGAGAGGCAGCCTTGGGGCGGGGGCAGGTGAGGAGCAAGCTGTTCCGGGCCTGGCTGCTCCGGGCCTGGCCTCTGTTGCTCTGGTCCACTCCACAACCAGCTGCTCCGGGCCTGGCCACTGCCGCTCCTGGCCTGGCTGCTGCTGCTTCGGGCCTGGCTGTTCCCCACCTGGCTGCTCTGGGCCTGGCTGCACCTGGCCTGGTTGCCCCCGACCCAGCTTCTCTGGGCCCGGCTGCTCTGGGCCTGGCCGCTCCCAACCTGGCTGCTCGGGCTTGGTTGCTGCTGCTCCGGGCTTCATAAAAATTAACAAATTTGTTCATTTTTTTTCTTTGGTTGCTTGTGCTTTTAGTATCATTGTTATGTCTAATCAAATAATTGAATCCACACCCCCACCCCTGGGAACTGACATCTAGACCACTTCACAACTGACATTCCCTTTTGCTTAGGCTATATTCCACTTGCTAAACCACATTCCACTTGCTAAGACCAATATTTTTCCCCTCAGGACCTGCCCAGAGAATTCTCCACCCAGAAAAAGCCCACTTAGAGTTCTTTAAATTTCTGACTCCCTGACCCTGGGAGCTAATGACATATGGGGCTCAGCCCATCTGATTTTCCAGATGACCTAATAAATTCATAATTCTTTACCACTTTTGGCCTTGTGCATTTCACCTTCGGTGACCCTAACAGTCATATGCAAGAAACCACTGCCTAATCCAAGACCTGAAGATTTACACTTATACCATATTTTCCGGTGTATAAGATGACCCCCTAATTTTACAGTTAAAATATAGGTTTAGGCCTATATTTGCTGTATAAGTTGCCCCACTTCTGAGGCAACACCAGTTCTTTTTTTTTTTTTTTAAATATATTTTATTGATTTTTTTACAGAGAGGAAGGGAGAGAGATAGAGAGCTAGAAACGTTGATGAGAGAGAAACATCGACCAGCTGCCTCTTGCACACCCCCTACCGGGGATGTGCCCGTAACCAATGTACATGCCCTTGACCGGAATCGAACCCGGGACCTTTCAGTCCGCAGACCGACGCTCTACCACTGAGCCAAACCGGTTTCGGCTACCAGTTCTTTTTTTAATAAACCACCTCTTTAACTCTGGCCAATCTGAGCAGGCTTTTTACTAGAACACAGTGTAGCTTCGGGTACAGAACATGTATAATTTGCATGCATAAAAAGCCTGCTCGGATTGGCTGAGTTAGAGAGGCAGTCCGAGCAGCCTTGCAGTGATTGGTGCAGAATCGAATTGGAAAATTCATTTAGCGGCAGATCGAGACGTTTTTTTGGATATACTCAGCGTATAAGACGACCCCGATTTTTGGTTGACTTTTTTTTGTTTCAAAAGTCGTCTTATACGCCAGAAAACACAGTAGTTTCCTCTAAGAGGTCCATGGTTTTAGTTTTACATTTAGGCATTTGATTCCTTTTAAGTTACTGTATTTTCCGGTGTATAAGACAACTCCCTAATTTTACAGTTAAAACATAGGTTTAGGCCTATATTTGCTGTATAAGACTACCCCCCACTTCAAAGAAAAGACTTTGCATCAAGATCTGCAGGTAATTTTTGTGCAATTTTGGTCTTTTGCCCCCGATTTTTGGTTGACTTTTTTTCGTTTCAAAAGTCATCTTATATGCCGGAAAATACAGTAGTATTTGTATTCTAGAGGCCCAGTGCATGAATCCATGCATCTGGCTTGTTTCAGTCCAATCCCCGCAGGCCAGGCATCCGTATGCATATAAGATCTTTGGTTAATCTCTTCCTGCCCTTTCCCCTCTCCCCTTCACTCTGAGATTCATCAGTCTGTTTCCATGCCTGTGCGTTGAGCGTCTGTCCCTGGTGGTCATTGCATGTCATAGCTATAGGACAGTTTATTGGTCAGCTGGTCACTTAGATTTTATTTGTATACTAGAGGCCCGAAGATTTGTGCAAGAATAGGCCTTCCTGGCCGAAACCAGTTTGGCTCAGTGGATAGAGCGTCGGCCTGTGGCCTAAAGGGTCCCAGGTTCAATTCTGGTCAAGGGCATGTACCTTGGTTGCAGGCACATCCCCAATAGGGGAGGGGGTGTGCAAAAAGCAGCTGATCGATGATTCTCTTTCATCGATGTTTCTTTCTTTCTTTTTTTTTTTTTTTAATATATTTTATTGATTTTTTACAGAGAGGAAGGGAGAGAGAGAGCTAGAAACGTCGATGAGAGAGAAACATCAACCAGCTGCCTCTTGCACACCCCCTATCAGGGATGTGCCCGCAACCAAGGTACATGCCCTTGACCGGAATCGAACCCGGGACCTTTCAGTCTGCAGACCGACGCTCTACCACTGAGCCAAACTGCTTTGGTGATGTTTCTAACTTACTAACCCTCTCTCTTACTCTCTGTAAAAAATCAACAAAATATATTAAAAAAAAAAAAAAAGAAAGAAAAGAAAAGAAAAGAAGAGAAAAGAAAGAAAAGAAAAGAATAGGCCTTCCTTCCCCTGGCTGCCGACACAAGCTTTCCTCTGGCACCCAGGACCCAGGCCTTTGCTCTGGCCGCTGCCTTCCACCTTCGCTCCGGCCCTGCTGCCCTCCTATGGCTCCCTCCACCCCCTGTACCACCCTCCTCATAGCAGGAATCCCGCCCCACCCCAGCCACTCTGTGCCTGTGTGCGTGTGTAAGCTGAACACCTGCATCATTGCCATGGCGATGATGTAAGCATCCCATCCCGGCTGTCGCCATCTTTGTCACATAAATTTGCATATTGGCTGTGGGTGCTGCCATCTTTGTCACACAATGATGGTCAATTTGCATATTCCGTCTTTATTAGTTAGGATGTTGTGAAGTGGGTGCAATGGATTTTTGTATGTTGATCTTGTTTTCTGAGACCTTGTTTAACTCACTGCTTAGTTCTAGGAATTTTTTGGTAGATTCCTTGAAATTTTATAAGCACATAATTGTGTCAACTACTTATAGGGGCAGTTTTATTTCTTATTTTTTTATTTTATTCTTTTTATTTTCTTTCTCCCCCCCCCCCTTCTTGTACTGGCTAGGATTTCAAGTAT